TTTCAATGTAGATTGTGTCAATGGAGCGTAACATAGAAGTTCTAGTGAATTAAAACTGTGTCAGTCCAGTTTTCAGAGTTGAAGTTCAGTTTAGTTCAGTTTAGTGGGGTTTAATTTTCACGGCTGATAGTCCAAACACTGAAGAGCAAATCTATCGATGGGCAACTCCACAAGTCCCAAGCTTATATATTAGCTACCAGTTAATCAGGAAGTGACCATTTGGTTCACTTTGACTCATTCAATGGAAACACTGCATTAGTCGCAAGTCTTTTTTGCAATATTCCAGTGTTGCGCATAAGCACCAATATAGATGCATTGACTTTGCTAGGATTTTTATTATTATAAATCAGGCAACAAGCAGGACAAACAGATAAAAGACCTCCACCGCGGTGACTAAAGCTCTGCACAAGACTTTTGGCCAGCGGAGAAATTAAAATGGTCGTGCCCAACTGAGTCTGGTTCTCTCAAGGTTTTTTTTTTAGGATTAGTAGAGCTACGCATCGATGAATTTGCTCTTCAGTGTTTGAACTCTCAGTAATGATTTTAAATCACACTGAACTGAGCTAAACTGAACTGAACTGAACTGACCATTTATGTGAAGCTGCTTTGACACAATCTACATTGTAAAAGCGCTATGCAAATAAAGCTGAAAAAAAGATAAAGAATAGATAGGGAATGCTGTTGTCTGAGGATTATGTGTTGTTGAATCGCATGCGTCTTTGCTTTTTAAAAATGTGGTTAAAAAAAGAGTTGGGCAGGTCATTCAATCAGGAACATTAAAGGAGAAGATAATATTTTTCTCTTTGTATCAACCATTAATCACTACAGCTGAATTGACTCTGGGAAGTTCATGGCCATTCAATCACTTATTATGAAATCTACAGAGGTTTTATGGAATTATTCAAATAATTTATTGAAGACTCCAAATTTTCATGTACTACTTATCACCTCTCCTTGCAGTTAAAGTCCTTGTGAAATCAAAAATTATGTTTTTTTTAATATATGATTTTTTTTATGCTTTAGTATCAATATGTTAGTCTTGTTATCTATAAATTAAGTGACAAAAAATCACATTTAGAAGACCTTTAAATCATTAGGTTTGTCACCTTTATCAAAATGAATAAGCTAATTATTTGACGTCACCTCATCAGTTTCCTATCAATCTTCTGACCAATCAAATGCTATCTCTTTGATACATCCTCCCCTTCAAGATGCTTTTGCTGATTAGAGCTGGATTTTGAAGTTTCCATACTGCCCGAATTGTTTTGTTACTACCGAGTATCGAAAAATGTCTTGTCAAGATTAGCCATTTTGTTTCTCATCTTCATCTTGCATCTAATGTAAAGTTTTCTTGATTTTAAAAAATGTCTTTACATTTTTAACAAAAAATACAGAGTAAAAGGGTAGTTTTTGCAATATATTAACTCTGTTGTCCCACAAACTAACGAAAGGGAAGGTTATTAAAAATGAAGCTCACAAATATGAGTGTCTCCAATCCTGTTCATGCTGTTTAACTCACACCTTCATATAATGAAATGGACTTTGCATTTGCTCTTTTAGCAGTGATCTGGTGAAGATGAAGCTGTAGACTGTAACGCAGGCATGTTGGTTCATCAGGTGTGGTCTGCAGCTGCAGTTGTGATGCTTGCCTAGAGAACAGCTGCATCACTGACTGACACTTTTAGGCTTTGTCACAATGTTATTTGCGCTTCCTGCTATTTTGCCAGAACTCTACTGCTAGTTCAAGGAAAGAAATGGAAATCAGTGGGAAGAGAAACCTTCAATCTTGTTTATGAGCAACCTGATGAAATTAACAATGCCTCATACTCTGACCCGACCCCATTAACAAAATTGGTTAGAGGCGGAGAGAAACAGATCAAAAAGACGAGTAATAAGGCACAGAATTGAAAGGGCATGTTCATACATATAATGTTAATTTTCATTTATTTATATGATTCATTAATTTCTTGGGTGCTTTCATAATATACATTTAATTTATATTTACACTATGGAAAAAATAAGGAGATGTAAGTATAGTTTTGTTAAAAATTGCAGTACAACATGTGTAACCTCTTAAACCACTGTTATCATCAGTAGTCATATTTTGTCCTTGAAATCAAATTACTTGTGAATGCAGTAGTGTAATAGAAAGACAGCAGACCCAACTGCAATGTCCTGTCTGCTGTTTTTGATGAGTAATTAGAAAGGGGGTGTTCTGCATAATAGCAGTGTGGAGTTTAATGAAAAAATCATTCATTATGTGATTAAAACAGATGTTATTAATGGTGTTTTATTAAGGAGGAAGGTCAGACATTTGTCACACACTGTTATTAAATGTATTTTTATGACTTTAAATGGGTTGTTCCAAACATTGTTCAGAAAAACAATGACATTTATGCAAAGAAGGAAAAGAAGTGGAGCAAATGATAGGATATTTAGCTGAGATGATCTCCAATACTTTAAAATAGCAAGCAAGACATGGAGAAGGAAATGAGCAACTACAGTTAAATGGAGTAACGGATAGTCAGAATGCCAATGTTTCAGTCAATAATCACCTCCAGATAGATCAAAGATTATCTAAAATGACCTGTAAATACAGTGACAGCTGTCAGCAAGAACCTATTCAGTTTCAGCATTATCACTGCTGAAAAACATTCATTCATATTCTTTTCCGCTTAGTCCCGTTAATAATCAAGGGGTCGCCACAGCAGGATTGAACCGCAAACCTTATTATGTTTTACGCAGAAGATGCTCTTCCAGCCACAACCCAACGCTGGGAAACAACCATACACTCTTGCATTCACACACATACACTACAGCCAATTTAGCTTATTCAATTAACCTCTACCACATGTCTTTGGACTATGGGAGATCTGGAGCACCTGGAGGAAACCCACACGAACATAGGGAGAACATGCAAACTCCACACAGAAATGCCAACTGGGCCAGCGACTTTCTTGCTGTGGATGATCATGCTACCCAATGCGCCACCGTGACGCTTCTGCTGAAAAACAGCATGTGCATAATCTGTTAAAATTTGCCAAGACACATAGCAATGTGCACTAATGAGAGTAAAAATGTACTTTTCTGATCTATAGTTCATCGACGGTGTTAGAGGACTGCCCAGTCACCAATCTCAAGCCTCAGTTCACTGTAAAGACTAAAACTAAGTGGTTCAGAAATCATTGTATGGGGTGTTTCTTATACTGTGGAGTTGGGTCTGTTTATCATTTACCAGATATCAAGAATCAGTTTTATTATATAAATATACGTGAAAAGATTATGTTGTCCTGTGCCGGAGAGGAAATGCCCCTGAAATTAGTTTCAACAAGACAAGACCCCAAAAAACACAAGCAATATCTTGGTTTCAGGCAAAAAAAAATTTGAGATAGTGGAGTGGCCTGCTCAATCATCTGACCTCAACCTAAGTAAAAAAATCTGTGGAAGTTTGTTTATTATTGACTAAAATACCTGAATTCTGCGACTTGATTCAAAGCAGATTAGCAGCAATTATCAAAAGTAACAGCTCTACACCTAAATATTAGTTCAGAAATTTGAACTGGAGTGAAAAAAAATATCTTTAGTTTATACATCTTTAAATTTAAAGAAAACATTTTTTTAACCAAGTAAATTTTCCTTGTAAAGAATTTAGTAAAAATACACAGAGAGTCCATACAAATATCTTAATATTTAGATTTAGGATTCATGTTTTCACTTTATCTGAGACATGGAAATAAAAGCTTTTTAAAATATTAGGCCTGTTTTGTCACGATATGGGGGTGGTGAAGAGGAGGCGAGGACCCAAATGCAGGGAATGAAGAGTTTAATGAAAAATAAAACAAAAACAAAACTCAAATCTCCCCATGTGGGGAAAAAAAACAACATTATATTACACACACAACTAGACAAGATCTGGAACTTTTCAAGACAATACTTTAAACCGCTGTTGTAGAAAAGAAATCAGCAACAGGGAAGGGAACAATCAATCACGGACCAGCACAGAACAGAGCACACTAGGAGAATAAATAGGAAAGACAAACCAATAAACAGACAGGCGGACAGGTGAAAATAATAATTACAAACAAGGTAACAAGGTGGGTGGGACAAGACAATAGACGGGAGAGCGCATGACACAGAAAGACAATACAAGCCATGCGCTCACATAACACAACACTGAAGCACACGACAAAAGCACGTGACCACAATGTAAACACCGAGCCACGTGCTTTGACAAAAGACGCAAGACACGAGCACACGATGAATGAAAACACTCACCATGCGCTCACATATGCAGCATGCATGCTTCATCCCAGCGCCGGCCAAAACCGAAACCAACAAGACTGAGACGCTGGGAATGAAACACCATGCTGCTGACAGACGGAAACACAAACACGAGTACAAGAGCGCACGCGTCTGAGGGACGCAGAGCGCGCGCGCGGCCGCGTCAAGCAGGAGCGCGCACCCTCTGCGTACACCCACGACGGCGCGCGCGCACACAGAGACAGAAACAGGACCAGACACGAGTAGTGTCCGAGATCTGCCACCAAAACAAGAATTTACAAGATCAGAGTGGCAGAACCCTGACATGTTTTACTTCTTTTAAGGGACTGCTATATTTTTTTAACAACTATGTGCTTGTATTTAAATGTTTTCATGTGTGATTTTTTTAAGCTGTAAGCTGTGTGTTTTTAAGCTTTGTATTGCAATTTATATTAAAATAAAATGCCTTGGCAAATAGCTGAAATAAATTGAGTTTATTGTTTTTTCTTTCTTTTATTTTAGTTGATGTTGATTTTTTTTAGTTTAGACTTTAGATGTACCCTAAATCATAAATAAATGTCATATAACTACAGTATATTATGACCTATTATTATAATAGTATTATAATTAGAAAAAAACACAAAAAAAATTCACAAAGGATTATCATCCATAATCACCATTTAACATTTCGTCTAACTACCTCCACATATAAAACTGACTTTATGTCTTTTCCTTCTTAGTTTACGGGCACAACGTGAAGAGTAGCAACGATTTTGTTGGCCGTATTGTGATTGGCCAGTTCTCCAGCGGGCCTCAGGAAACCACACACTGGCGTAGACTGCTGAGCTCCCAGCGAACCCCAGTGGAACAGTGGCACAGCCTGCGCTCCCGAGCTGAGTGTGACCGCGTCTCTCCTGCATCTCTTGAGGTCACATAATATAATACTGACATGGGACAGCCACTGAAGGTGGGATAGAGGAACTTAAAACACAAATATCTGGGAGCGTTTGAAGGTTTCTGTGTTATTTTTAATGGTTTTGAATCATATAGTGATAGATCTGTTCTTTACAGAATGGTGGGCTCTGTCTCAGTAGGGCTTTTCACACTCAAAACCGTTAACCCTGGGTCATTCTAAACCCTGGATGAACTGAATACTGTGTTATCTTGCTTTGCATTTCACAATGCTTACAATTAATAGTGAGAATTCATAAGCTGACTTCTCATATTGTTCATTCTTGTTGGTTGTTAAACATGTAGTAATAATTTTTCCCCAACATATTATTTTTCAATACAGATATTCACCATTGCAGTGTGGGTTTAAAAACAGCTCACATAGAATGTGTGTCCACAGTTTCACACTTTTCACTTAAACACAAAATTTTTTAACTGTATAATGTGCAAACACAAAAATCTAATCTCTAAAAATATGTATATATCGAAGACTCAGCGATGCATCTGCCATCTTGAAATGATCAACAACGTCATCAATGCCATCCTTCACAATAATGGCTCTGTTTTAATAATAATTGAGCAGGTACACTTAGGGAATGCCTGAATCCACTTTTGCTATTTTAAGAACAGGTAAAACAGTCGGCGTACCCAGCACATGATCCTAAAGTGGTGTTGTTCTTAATGTGATTAAGAGAATTAAGATAAGTAATTAAATCAGTCAAAGAGTCTCATCTCCCATTCCCTTTAAGAGCGAGTTAATATCATGCCATAACATATTTGCTAATAACAAACAGACTTTGTAAACGGAAAAACTGAACTCTTCACAAGTGAGAGCCGCCTGAGGTGAAGACGAGGCAATGCATAGCTGTTTTTATATGTAGACAATAATGATATTTGTTTACGTTTTAATCCTTTGGTGTTTTTTATATTTAAAGTTATTTGTGTGCTGTTGCACATCCCTGAGTGTGTAATAAGCAATATGTAGATGCGTTTTGGACCTGCCTATCACTACTTAACTCCTTAAATAACAGAAAAAGACACCATTTACTTTAGACCAACTTGTAGTTGGTCTTTTTCAATTGCCCCGAAGTAGCAATGCACCAAAAACAACTCAACCAATGGGTGCATAAATGTGTGCAAACACCTTTGCTATTTAAACATTGTGGTGCAGGATGTGAAAAATATATTGTTTGTAGTTTGGGAAATATGTATTAGAACAAATTAGCTCTTTCAATCAAAAATATAGTGGTGCATAAATGTAATTAAACAAGAAATCAACAAGAAAAGTAATCTTTGTACCAGGATTAATAAAATACTTTTCATACATAGAAAATATTGTTTGGAGCAAGCTTTTTAGTTTTTATTGGTTTAAGTTATATAACCATTTATAAAAAAAAATTTTAAGTGTATATTGTTACTGAACTGGTTTAACTTACGAGAGTGAAACACTTCTTTATCCAGGGTTTAGAACAATGTTAGCTCAGGGTTAAGCGCAGTGTGAAAAAGCCCTAGTGTAATTTGTGTTTGTTCTCTTTTACCATTACTGTAATGGGGAGATCATAGAAAATCAGAGGTTCCGCATTTGAGCAGAAGCCTGCTGTCCATGTTTTCTTTTTATCACATTGATACTATCTTACATTGGAGCTCAGAAATCTCATCACCATCTGATCGTCAGCCAGATTCAGGCTGCTCAGGTGTCCAGAGTCTGGTCTGCAGTGTTTTAATAATCATATTGTTTCTTTTTTCAGACTTCAATATGATTGCAGGTATTTAGAAATCTAGCAACACAGTTGGTTATTTTGAATGTCTAAAGTCAAACTTCACACCAAAGCTTGTGTTTTGTGACCTGTATTACTGTTCTCCGTGCATATTTTGACCTATGATTGTGTTTAAGTGTCCGTGAGTGTATGTTTGGTAATTGTTTGCTCTTATGGCAGCTGAGGCCGACAGAAAGCCTAAAAGGCCAGGTATGTTTAATTGTTCATAAGTTTGACTCAATTTTTTGGTGATATGAAAGTACCAAAGGTTTTTTTTTTTTTTTATTTGGTGATCTTGACTAGATCACGTTATTTCTTGTTTCATAGCTTTTGAAATAAGTATACTTCTGTTCAAAAGTTGGGGAAGGTGGAGGGTGTCCAAAATTATCATTATTAAAATAAATGTATATGTTTATTTGTCATGGATACATTAATTATTTAAAATACATGTATTTTTAACTAAATAACTTTTGTTATTTTGAAGTTTCTATTATTCAAAGCTTCTTGTAAAATACATCAAACCACCCACAAAACATATTAAGCATCAAATACTTTTTTTTTCAGCAGAAAGGAATCAAATTAGACATTTTTTTGAAGAATCATGTGATACTAAAGATCTTAGTAAAGATGCTATAAATAAAATTTATTGATTTATTTATTTAAAATATTATATTATTTTTATAAAATATATAAAATATTATATTTAAATAATGAGGTTGTAATATTATTTATTTTAATGTAGCATTGTATTTATTAAAACACTATTTAAAAAGTTTGACAGTTTGTATGTATGTACTGTATGTGTGTGTGTGTGTGTGTGTGTGTGTGTGTGTGTGTGTGTGTGTGTGTGTGTGTGTGTGTGTGTGTGTGTGTGTG